CATGTGAGGTAATATTCACAGGGTCTGGGGATTAGATGTGGAGATATTTGGGGGGCCATTATTCAGTCTGCCACATACATCAAAATTTTTTAAAAATAAATTTATGTTGTTTGTGAGCTGTAGACAAAATAAACTAATGAGAGCCAGGATGCTGCTTCTACAGACCTGTGCTATACTGTTAGGACATATATATGTATGAGTCCCTGGAGAAAGCTTCATCATATTAGGAATATAACCTTTTATCCCTCCAGCCCTTATTCATCCATATTCCAATATATTCATTCAGAAAAGAGGAGGCAGGAAGAAGTGGTGAAATAACAGCATCAGGACGGAAGCCCCAGGATGGAGAAAATCCAGTATAACTGTTCTCTCTAGACAAGAGCTCAAAGCGCCATCCTTTTATTAAATGTACATATACTTAGATAAGTAAAGGTAAATTCTATGCATATAGTCATCTTAAGTACAAATGTTATATCATAATATCTTAAACTACCCTGACTGTTAAAACATCTAAATGATCCTCATTTGATTCAGTCATTCAACAAACATTTTAGCTGGCCACCTAGCATGTGCCAGGAACTGTTCTTGATCATTAACTAGTCCTGTTCAAGATTCAAAGATATGGATGCAAGGCCATGTCCTCATCACATCCTTTTAGTACCACTGCAGTATGTACGACGTGCCCAGGAGGGGCTAACTGACTGTTCGGGGGATGGAGAAGGGATTTGAAAGGAGAGGTCCTGCTCACACAATGCGACAAGCTACGAGGGAGATCTCAGCACATCCAGGGAAGAGTAAATGGTGTGGTGTGGCAGCCACAGAGGGTGTGCAGAAGACAGTGGCTGCAAGTGAGGCGGAGAGATAGGCAGGGGCTAGCTCTGAAGAGATCTGTGTGCCGTGCAAAGGAGTGTGGACTGCCCCACAATGAGCCGCCTTGAAACAGTCTCATGTGGGGAAGTGGTCTGCGGTTTTGAAAGACAGTCCAAGTAGCAACACCAAAGACCTGGTGGAGGGAAGGAGAGGCAGAAGGCAGTCAGACAGCTGCTGGAACTGTCCAGAGAAGAGGGAAGAGTCTGAATCCAGGTGGAGGTAACACAGGAAAGGAGAGGAGAGGGTAAGTTTGGGAAACACTGCTTTGAATCAACATGACTTTGCAAGGGACCAGACACGGCTATGGTGGGGAGGTGAAGCAAAAGAATAAATTAGGGATAACCCTGAGGTTTCTACCTCAATACCCTTAGCCAAGAGAGGAAACACAGAAATGAACAGGTTTAGAGGCTGGAGTGAGGGGTGTCGATGAGTCTCAGCGTCAGGCACGTTGAACTTGAGTTTCCTGCAGAATATCCAGGAGCAGATGTCTAATGGACAGGCAGAACCACAGACCAGAGGATCAGACCTGGGTGCACAGGCAGCTGTGGGAGTGTGGGAAGCAGGTGCCCCAGACACTGCATGTGAAGTCAGTCAGGAGCCTGGCAGAGGGCAGAGCCCAGGGACTGGCAGACAGGGAGGACCCAGGGGGACACTGAGTCAGAGAGCCAAGGGAAGAGAGCCGTCTACAGAGGAAGGAAAACCACCAAATGCTGCAGAGACGTGGGAGAGGATGAGGGCGTCACCCAATTCCACAATCATGCAGCTGCTGGGGAACCTGGTGATGTTTGTTCAGGGAGAGTGGGGAGGGGGAAGTGGGATTGCAGTGGGTCCAGAAATGGAAGCAGCAAGTGGAGAATAATCTTTCAAGAAATATGGGCTAAAGGGAATCTGGGAAAGTGGTTTGGATGGCACAGTCTGGAAAACTGTGGGGAAACCTCTGTTGACTTAATAGCCTGCTATATGCCAGGCACTGTACTTAGCTTCTTACCATATTAACTTATTTACTCCTTGGCTGGTTAATTTTATGTATCAACTTGGCTAGGTCATGGTCCTCAGATATGTGGTCAAACATGTTTGCATGTTGCTGTGATGATATTTTTAAGATAAGATTAATGTCTAAATCAGTAGCCTAAGTCATAATGTGGATGGGCCTCACCTAATCAGTTGATGGCCTTAAGGAAAAGACTGACCTCACCCAAGGAAAAAGAAATTCTGCCAGCAGACTACCTTTGGACTCAAACTGCAACATCAACTTTTCTCTGGGTCTCCAGCCTGCTGGCCTGCCCTGCAGATTTTGGATTTGCCAGTCTCCACAAGTGCATAAGCCAATTCCTTAAAATAAATCTCTCTCTCCACACACACACACACACACACACACACACACACACACACACACACCCTATTGGTTCTGCTTCTCTGGAGAACTCTAATACACTCTTCAGAACAGCATTAGGTACTATTATTTTCCCCATTACATAGCTGAGAAAACTATGGCACAGAGAAGTTAAGAAACTTGACCAGGGCTACACAGCCACTGGGTAGCAGAGCTGGAATTCCAATCCAGTGTGCCCCCAGAGTCCCTGCTCTTAACCACATGCTACACTGCCCCTTCTGAGCACTGACCCGGCGTGTCTGGGGCCAACCGGGAGGGCCAACTGAGAGAGGCAGAATAAACAAGGGAATGAGAGCCTCAGCCTCTTGTACAGACGAGAAACCAGGCATGAGCCATTTGCCCAAGGTGGGATTTACAGTGTCACAAGTAGCAGACCCAGGTTTTCAGGGTACAATGTGCATGCTTTTCCCTTCTCCCTCCTACTTTCTCTCCGTGCTTCTTTATCCACGTCCTCTCCTCCCTTCAGAATTCCTATGTCCTTCAGAGATACTCTCAGTCACACCCTCTCAAGCTGCTTTATCCTGGGAGGCCCAGGGCTCCTTACATTCTGACCATGACCACAGTGCCTCAGAAAACCACAAAGTCGTAGAGCATACATGCAGCAATAAAGCGCTTGTCTACTCAGTACAGGATATGTTACTGTGGCAACACAATCCATCCCACAACGCCAAGTGTAGCATGTCTGGTCAAATCAATGAACTCCACACAAATAATTATGGATTCTGTTAGCAATTATTTGGAAAATAAAACAAAACAAAACAAAACGCAAAAAACCCTCAAACTTCAGAAATCCCAACAGGCATTTATTTCCAAATATAAATTCCTAGACTATAATGTGACTACTCAAGGAATTAGATATCTTAGAAAATATATTTGATATCAAAAATCTCCCAAGAATACTTAAGCATAGTCTAACAGTTTAAAATTCTGAACTGGGTTCTCTGAAAACTGGTATTTTCAGACTTGACTTTCATGGGAGTGGGAACCAAAGGAATATAGGACCCAATGTGCCATCAGAATCCTAAGCACAAGCATGTGTTCCCATATTGTTATTATGAGTGTCAACTATAAAGTTCCTGGAGGAAGATTTGGAAATTTGTGTTAAAAGCTTTAGAATTTTGTACATCTTTTTGTGTATGTGTGAGGAAGACTGGCCCTGAGCTAACATCTGTTGCCAATCTTCCTCTTTTTGCTTGAGGAAGACTGGCTCTGAGCTAACATCTGTGCCAGTCCTCCTCTATTTTGTATGTGGGTCACTGCCACAGCACGGCCTGATGAGTGGTGTGCAGGTCCGCGCCTGGGATCCGAACCCGTGAACCCTAGGCCGCCAAAGTGGAGCGTGTGAACTTTACCACTATGCCATGGGGCCAGTCCCCTAGAATTCTGTACATTTTTAACCCAGCAATTCCACTTCTCAAATCTTATCCTTAGGAAAGAATCATGGCCGTGCATAAAGATTTAGCTACAAAGATATTTATCACAGCATTGGTGAGCACAGTAATGTTTTTTCTAATTGTAGGGGACTGAGCAACCAAATTATGACATCCATATAATGGAATCCGATGCACTCATTAATATTGACATCATGGAATAATAGTTAATGCTATGTTCATTACATATGAATGATTTTTAAAAGCAAGTTATAGAACAGTACATAGCATATAATCCCATTTCTGTTAAATATATATTTTGTGGAAGGCAGCCTCTAAGAGGGCCCCAGTGAGCCCCACCTTCTGCTGTTCACACGCCCGTGTGGTCCACCCCCCACGCTGTACCAATGCTGGGCTCTGTGACTAACAGAAGAGGGAAAGAAGCGAAGGGATGCCACTTTGACATTAGGTTATAAAACACTGTGACTTTCATTTTGCCCACTTGGGCTTCTGTATTTTTAGTTTATTTTTTATTTTCTCTCGGATCACTTGCTCCAGTGGAAGCAAGCTGCCATATTGTGAGCAGGCCTATGGAGAGGCCCATGTGGCAAGCAATTGAAACCTCTGGCCAACAACCAGTGAGGAGCTGAGGCCTCCTACAGCCGTGTGAGTGACACTGAAGCGTGCTCACCAGCCCCAGCTGAAGCTGGAGACGAGCAGAGCCCTGGCTGACAGCCCGACTGCAATCTTGCTGGAGATCTTGAGCCAGAACCACCCAGAGAGGTTGTGCCTGGATTCCTGACCCTCCCAAACTGTGAGATAACAGACGTCCACTGTTGTCTAAAGCTGCTAAGTTTTGGGGCAATTTGTTACGCAACAATGGATAGCTAACACATACATGCATAGTAAAATGACTGGAAGGATATAATCCAAAATATTACTAATGGTTTTCTCTAGGTGGTTGGATTCTGCGTAATTTTTATTTTCTTTTTTTGTACCATGTTGGCAATGTTTTTCCCTTTTCAGAAAACAAAAAAAGAAAACCACAAGACCAAGAGAGATCGTATATTCCTTCTAAAGAATAAAAGGACAAAGATTAGGAAAGTCAATTTTAGCTCTAATAACCTTTAAAGATTCTTTTTAAGTAAATTAGCTTATATGTGCAAGGAAAAAAAATAAAACTCCAAAGAGTGTGCCCGAATGGCATGGCGGAGTAAGCTTTACCCGCCAGAAACCATGCAATGTGCTATGAGCAGCAGCATCAAGTGACTTCAAGGAAAGGAGACTTGCACAGGCTTCTTGAAAGGAAAACTGAACAGTAATCAAGTCATCTGTTAGCCTATCACTGGCACAGAAGTCTTGCTTACCCAGTTTCTGGTCAAACCGCCACGCTGCAACGTAGGCATTGTGTCTCAGACTGCTCTGCGTGGCCAGGGGCACGGTGACATAAATGGGACCATCCACCAGCACCGGTGTTCCATCACTGCTGAGCAAGTGGACGCTGACAGCTGTGACCGGGGTCAGGTCGTACCTGGTGCCATTTCCTGGAAGCAAGAGGCATTCTCCATCACATGAGCACAAAGGACCCAGGTGGGTCTGCGGAAACTGTTTGCAAGAAAATAGTAACAGCTGCCATTTACTGAGTATTGTACCTCCCATACGCCACTTTACACACTTTAAGCACTTTACACACACAATCCTCACCATCACCTTCTAAGGTGGGTAAAATCCTCATTTTACACGTAAAGAAACTGAGGCTCAGAGAGGGCACTAAATGAGAGCTGCCTAAGGGCAATACCCTAGTTTGTGGCAGGGCTGGGATCCAAGCTCAAGTGTGCTGATCTAACTACTGTACTTTGCTGTCACCAAGGGCCTCAAAAGGGAAGGACTTGTGTATAATGTGAGAAGAAGGTGTGTGTGGAAATCCCTGAAACCGACTCCTATACAAAGGGAGCCACATGCATGTGTTAATTAATTAATAATCACCATAATGAAACAGATGTTTTAAATTAGAAACTGCTTAAACAAAAAAAGGTGAATTTCTTCAAGGCGGGCTTCAAAATATTCACTTACTTCTACGAAAAGTACAAGATTGAAAACTTGGACTTGAAATATTTACGAGTTATTTTAGTTGCCATTGTTATTTTGATCCGTTTAAAAGGAATTTAATATACCAATCACTCTACATTAGAGGCCTTTTATCCAAGCCAATGCTTTAATGACTGTCTATTTCACAGATAAATTAGGGAATGCTTATGAGAGCGATATTATATTTATACACTTAAGCAATCCATTTTAGAAAGATTTTTCTCCAGTGAAATATAGTATCACGAAATGTATTCTGTCATAATTTTAAATCCTTCCTTGAACACAATGACGAAAACACAGTGATAAAAAATTTAAGCTACATTAGAACCCAACCTATAGGATTTCTTGTTAACCTATTTATTTACTTACTTACCCATCAACTACCAGAGCTAATGCAAATCTCTGGTCAGTGCGAAATTTCACATTTAAAGTAAATCCAGTGAATTTTAAGAGTTTCAACAAGTTACAGCTAACCTTCGTAGAGCAAATATAGCTAATGACAGTAGCACCTTTTATAATTTATACCCATCTCTCTTTTTCCATGAAGGGAAAGGCATGGAGATGGGAATTTCATCAAAAAGTCCATGTTGGAACCACAGATTCGAGTTCTGAAATCTTTTAATCCAACCATTTCATTTTAGGGTTTTCTTTACCAAATTCAGAATTTACCATATTTCTGGCCAAAATATCTTGCGGATGGACACCTAAATGTGCCAGCTGCCCAAAGGTACAAAGAAGGCAAGCCAGGTCTACAGTGTATCTCTCTAGGTTCTGTTAGACTCTCTTGATGAGATACAACCTAAAACTACAGAGAAATCAAGGAACTTACTAGACTTTGTATAAACAACTTAGAGATAATGTTTTCAGTTAGCTGCTGCTTTCATCAAACCTGAGGCAGGATGCCCGAATAAGGAGGCAGCAAGTGGAGTAGAGAGGCGCTCTAGACTCATCATCCATCCTTTCCTCCCACTGAACTCTGCCTCTTGATTCCTAGGAAGGGCATCCCCATTGTCCCCACTCATCACCCTTCTACTCTCCCTTCCTATTATCTTGCACATTCCTGGCCCAGGAGGACCAGATTCACCCTAACTACTTACGTGGCCTCGGGCAAGTTACTCTACTCCTCTGGGGTCTGTTTTTCTAATCTGCAAAACTACGGAGGTTGGACTAGATGCTTTCCTGCGAGTCTACGGAAAGAAACAGACTCAGCTATAAACATCCAGAAGTAAGTACAGCAATGCAGAAAAGCGCATATTAATTTAAAGCAGTACGCCTTCGCTTAGAACATTCGATTTAATGTTCTTTTAAAACTTCTGTTTGAAGACACCGCAGGCAATTACATCTGCTTTCTTGAGGCCTCTTTCCCTTGTCAGTGCTCCGTGAGATGCCTGCTCCTACTCCGTGCTTCCAAATGACCCTCCCTCTAGCCTCCCACTTTCTTTATTCTGGAACGATTCATACTGTGAAGGGCTAAACTGTTTTCCTTCCAGCCCTTGTTATGAGACTGCAACTCCACACACAACACTGAGTTCTATACATAACGAGGCCTTTCCTTCCTGTTCCCTCTTGATGTTACCTGGCTCTCGGGATGTCTGAATAAAGACAGGTATCAGGCAAAAGCAGCAGGATGAGGGGGCAGCCCCAATGGACCACGGTAGGAGGCCTCCGACTCGTCACTTGTAACAGGAGGGGTTTTGCCCAGATTGCATCTAGAATTCTGTTCGGCTCTGCATTCTATTACCAACTCTTCTAGACTATAGGGAAATTTCGCACATGAGTCATTTTACTGACCTCTCTCTGTCTTCCTGGAGTTACTAGTAGAAGTAATTTCTTGAAGACCCCTCAAGAATGCCACAGAACAGTTCTGTGCTTCCTTAGCAACTAGAGGGGAGAGTGTGACGCTGTGAAGGCGCAGTGTCCCTGGCCTGCGTGTGTGATGCGGCTGTCCTATGTGAGGTCAGGAAGCTAGAGGACGGATGGGAATGAGCAAGTGAGGAAGTGGCCGAACCTCCACGTGGCTGTGTTTCTCTATTTACAACTCTGGAAGCTCCCTCTAAACCGGATACAACTCCCCTTAGGACGCTCCAAGGAAACCAGCCGTCGGAGCACTTTCTGATCACATCTGTGGCCTCCGTTCACCCTCCCTGAGCTCCAGTTACAACCTGTCATCTCACACAGGTGTGTGTGGTCCAGGCTCTCACCCTAAGCTGAAATCTCTTAAATGTGTTCTATAAAACAGGAGGTGAACAACTGTGGGGGGGCAGAAGAGAAGCTGTGCACATAGCCGAACTGGAGACGGGTACCTAGTGATGCGATGTTGGGGTGCGCAACAGAGGCCACGCTCCCATGCCCTCACAGTGCCAGTGAACACACCTCTGGGTGGCCACCTTGCCTGGCAGCTCTCAAAGGTCTGAATCTTCCTAGGTTAACTTTCAGTTATTTCAGTGGAAAAGAAGTTGGATGTAACCTTCCAAAGACCTTCTCTCTTCCCTCTGAAATAACAGAGTGATTTTAAAATAAAACAAACTCCTCTAAAATCAATAGTCCTATGTCTCCGTGTTCTTCCCCGTCGTCTCGGATTTCATAATTTATTCAGGAGCTCTTGGAAGCGGGGCACAGAGAAATTAATGAGCTCTGAGGAATGAGGTCGTCCCTCCAACTTAGGGTTTTATGGTGGTGCGCCATTTTGTCAGGGAGACTGGAAGGAGGTTTCCTGATGGTCTCAGATTGTAATTTATTATGTTTCCCCAAACAGTGCTTTTCTCTCAGGCTTGTGCATTTAAAGTAAAAGCCAACATTTTCTTTCCAATAATGTCTACTTAAGATGACTTTCATGCATCTGTCCAATGACCAACGGCTGGCATATTAATCACATCATCATCACGCAAAAATTAAAGGAGGAAGAAACATTTCTGAAAACAGGTACCACAGAGAGCAAAAAAGTAAATAACAAGTCACCCGGTCACCCTGATCCATAACCAGATGTTTATCAACATTCTACAAAACGGATCAGACATTTCAAGTTTAAAAGCTTTTTTGGAATGATTAGTTTATGTAAAGCACTGGACAATTAAGTGAAATTCAATAAAAGTGTTCCTGGGAAATGCAATAACTTACTCACCTAGCAGAATTGAACCCAGAACAGCCTCTGGATTTCAAGTTTATGTTGTGACTAGTCTACGGTGTCGGGGAAAAGAAGAGGGAGACAAGTCAAGACTTCAGGACTTCAGAATCCCACCATCCATTCACCAGGAGGACTAGGGACCACGTTAGCGCGAGCGCCCCGATGAACTGTGCCCTTGGACGTGAACGGAGGTAGAAGGCGCATGTCTCCAGTCTTTTTCTGATAAGGAATTATTACATATTTTCTGGCTGGTGGCTTTCAGTTTCTCTGATCTTTGAGCAATGTGTCATGCCCAAATAGGGTGATAATGACCGAGCTGACTTAAGAGGTCTGCCAGGAGAGGATTCAAATTCAACTTCAGAGCCTGATCATTCTTTGCCGAATGGAAGGCAGAGAGAGCAAGTGTGGAGAAAGGAAAAATGTGAGGAAATGCTGGATGGACACAGCCGGTAGACAACAGAAGCTCCTCCTGCCTGAACGCTCCATGTGCTGGTGGGGCGGGGAGTCCTGGTTTGCTCATCTCGGAATCAGACACAATGCCACCCCTGCCCCTCCCAGCCGTGACACGTGAGTGGGTGGGGCTGTGCATCTCTGCGAGGGCAGCCAGGCAGGCTGCTCCAATGACACACATTCCAGGGGCAAGCGGGTCGAGGCTGAGGACACAGGGGCAGAAAACCTCTAACTCTGATCTTACACTTTTAATCAATTTCAGTTATGAAAACTTTCCTGAATTGAAGAGCTCAGAGAAGGTGCTTAATTTAAGGCAGCTGGTACCAGCAGAAAGGCTCAAAGAGACAAATTCACGAAAATTCAACTCTGCAGTGGTGCAGACTGAATTCCTTAAATAACACAGTTTCGATGCACTTAAACTTGTACGAAGAGCTCCCCCCCACAACTTCGGTCCAGCTCTCTCCTTCATACCAACACTTCCAGCCACACGGAAAGATTCAAACACAGGAGCCCCTGCTGAAAAGAGAAGAGACTCAGATTACCTGTTCCATTTCCATCCAATCCTCGCAAATAAGGGAAGCTGTCCACCTCCACGGGGGAGCTGGCGGCCGTGAGAAAAGCGGTCAGGTCGCTGTAGCTGCTGTTCTCGGGCAACCTAAGGGCTCTCCTCTGGAAATGGACACGGGGCTGCGGCCGGGCACCTGCAGAAATCAACCCTGAGTTACCTCCCGCGGGAGCAGTTTCTGTTTTTAGAAAATGCAAAACCAGAAGTGCTTCTCCAAGGTTCCCCGTGCCTCCCCCGCCCCCACTCCTCCCCCCATCTCCGCCCATCCCCCATTCCCGCAGGACGCACAGATGTGACAACATGCTATTATGGGGACCGAAATAATAGCCCATTGTCACATTTGTTTTGACACAGGATGTTATTTAGGTTTTTAACAAAAAGCTTTCCAAGTTCTATTTGTGAGTGGTCTTTTCACTGCATAGCATTTGCCTGTGAAAAAGGGGTAACATTTTGGGAAAGTCCATGTAAGGGAAACAAGTAGATGACAATCTATTTTACACAAACAAGGCAAGAGATACCCTTTGATACTGTAACAAACACATCCTTCCGTGTTCCTGGTAAAATCTGGTTTAAGTCCACAGACCACAATGCAGCAGAGCAAGGGAATTAAAGGAGCAGCCTGGACAAGAATTACAAACTAGAGCCTGGCAGTAACGAGCCCTCCTCCTTCTGTGCAAGCTGCCACTGGTGTCCAGTCTACTCTGGCGGGTGCATCCTATTGCAACATATTATGTTGCAGGCTTTATGTTGAGACGCTTGAGATGACGTGAAGCGAGGTTCTCTTCCCCACACCCAACCCCTCCGTGCAGAAGGACCGTTGAGCCGACAGGCCCCACCAGACGGTTACCCTGTGACATCACCCACAGTTTCACTTTGCTCGAGATGTTGTTTTGATTGTCAAACCTGAACCTGTTTTTACCTAAGGCTGTGGCGACAGTCACAACCTGTGAAGGTGCTAAGTCATTTTGCACAAACCCAGCAAAAACAGACAAAAATGAATAGAAATGGGAGTTGTAGCACTTACCAAGAAAAGTACACATTTCTCCCAATTAAAATAAAGCGGTTCCTCAAAAGTGCTGGTCTGCCCCGACATTCTGGTCACGGCATCTCCTACCCCTGGCTTGAGGCAGACCGTGTTTTCCCTGTGGTTGGCTGGAGGCTCCTTCTCCCCAGTCCATGGCTGCCCTGGCACAACAGCCCTGCCCACAGCTGATGGTCTTTATACCTACTCCAGGGTCCCTTTCAACCCTGGATCAGAAACCTGTTTTTTTTTTTTTGCTGAGGAAGATTCGCCCTGAGCTAATAACATATGTGCCAATCTTCCTCTGTTGTGTATGTGGGTCGCCACCACAGCATGGCTGCGGACAACTGGTGTAGGTCCATGCCTGGGTACCAAACCAACTGATGTGACACATGCTGTGACAGCATGACATGAATACCTGTGTGCTCAGGAACCAAACACGCTCCCCACTGTGGAACACAGGCAAGACCTCTGCCTGCTGAGAGGACCAAAAAAACATCAGAGGAGTGTAAGGGTTGAAGCTATTCTAAACCAGAGTGTAAATAAAATCTAATGTGGGTATGCGTGGGGATGGGGGGGGCGGTTATGTTCTAGGTACATAAAGCCCATCTTCATGTACTAAAGGTGCTAAAATCCCACACCTTTCAGAAAGGGATGTGATTGGTGGGGATGGGAGGAAGGGGTGGACAGGTCTGTCGGTCTTCTCAGGATGCCTCTCCCACATTCCCCACAGCAGCTGCTCCAAAGTTTCTCTGTTCTTCTCAAACTCAGGGCTCCGTTGCCATGCCCAAATGCTCAGACCCTACTCTACTGAAAATACCAGGGCCACCACTTCCTCTCTCTGCACTTTAAACCCTTTCTTCCCTCTTCTCTTCTGTCTCTTCTGTCCCTGCTCTCCTCCAAGGTCAACCCAAGCATCCTCACTTTGGCTTATTTTATTGCAGGGCTCAGCTCAAGCAACTCTTCTTCCCTTCATCAATCATCTTTCTCTACGGGCTTTTCCTCCTCAAGCAGCAAATATACTCATTTCTTCCTCATCTAGAAAAATAACAAGAAAACATGACTTTAACTCTGTCATTCCCATAAGCGACTGCCTTCTCTCCATCCCCCAGCCCCCAGTGATGTGGCTTTTCACCCACAACACAGGCTGCCCTTGGAAATGTCAACTGAGGACTACAGAATCTGCAAACCCCACGACCACTTCCCAGCGTCATCCTCGCCAACCTCGTCACAATGGTCCACACTGTTCACCGCCCGCGCCCAGAATTCCCTCCTCCTTGGCATTTGTGGTCCTGTTCTCTGCTCTCTCCACAGTCAACCCGCTTTCTCCTCTGCAAGTCCTTTTTTTCTCCTCCTACTTCCAATGAAACAGTCCCTAAAGGGCTGCCTTCAGGTGCCTCTGCTGTCTCTGGACTGTCTCCTCTGACGCCCCTCCAGCGCTACAACCTCAGCTGTGACCTTCCTGTCCAGGCTGGGACTCTCTGCCAAGCTCCATGTCTGCATTTCCTCTGCCTTCTAGACACCTCGACCTGGATGCCCACCAGTCACTCTGATTTTAGACATCACCTACCTTCCCTCCCACTTAACAAAACCCCATTGTCCCCAACATCCACGTTTGATTCCAGGGCGTCGTCATCATTTTCCCTTTCTACTATTTTGCACATTCCCTCAGGTGCCAGGACTGGCCAATCTTTCCTCATCAACGTTTCTAGCATCACCTTTGCCTCCCCTCCTGCCTCCATCCTACACTACCTACATCACTCCTTGCCTCAACTATTATAAAAGTCTCCTAACCGGCCCCTGGGCTTCCCCTTACTCCTTTTCATCTACCGACCCATGGACTGTTCTAAAATTCCACTTTCCCTGCCCAGAAACCTTCATTGGATCTCCACCACTTAAAAATTAACAATGGCGGCAACGATTATAGACCAACATAGACTCAAACTACCACTCCACCTTTCACGTAAGTGAGAGGTGCAGAGTTCAGTGCTTCAGAATTTACGAAGTTCTTATATACATATTATTTCACTTAATATGTATAACAACCTCGTGAAGAGGGAACTCTCTCCTCTCTTTATGGGGGAGGAAACTGAGGCCCAGAGATGTTAAGTGACTTGCCCAAAGTCATTCTGCTTGTAAGAGGCAGAAATGGATTCTTTTAATTCTAACCTCGGTCTCCCTTCCTAGCACACCACGCCCACCTCAGAAGAGATGCTCCCTTATTGCCAGTCAGCTCTGCATGTCTGCACGACCCTCTGCTTCTCCGTATGCGCTCCTGCTTCTCTCCACGTCTGAAGCTCCCTCCCCTCGTCTCTATTTGCGTAACCTACACCCCGTCCAAGATGCATCTCAAATGCCACCTCGTCTATGTAGTCTTTCGTGATCCCACCTCAAGCTCTAAGCTCTAACTGTGTCTCACGTACAGCACTGATCTCTCTGTGCCTTGTGTTATATTTATTTGGATATTTGCACATCTCTTTAATCAGAGGTGCCATGAGAAGAGAACATGGGCAGCAGAACCACTTAGCTCTATGTTTAAATCCTGCCTCTACCACATTCCAGTTGAGTGACTTTGGGCTTCAGGTTGTTTATCTTTAAAATGGGTATGAATCACGCCTGCTCATCATATGGTTGCCATGATGCTGGATCAGAACACACACGCATGATGCCTAACAGTGCCTCCTGGTAAATAATAGGTGCAGGATGAGCAGTAATTTCCCACCTCTTCTCCCTTTTAGACAGAAGCTCCTTAAAAGCAGATATTCTGTGAAACACATCACACTGTGTCCTGTATACAGCTGGCACTCAACAATATTTATAGAACTGAATGTAGAGCTATACTGGGCAACTCACTCCATTCCAATAATGGTCTGTCTTACTTCTGACCAGGTCAGGGTTCCTCAAATCTCAGGAATGTTCCCCTTAACGTTTTGGGCCAGGTAATTCTTTGTTGGGGAGGAGGGCTGTCCTGTGCATTGCATGGCCATGTCTAACAGCATCCCTGGCCTCTACCCACTAGATGCCAGTAGCAGCCCCCAAGTTGTGACAACTAGAAACATCACCAGACATTATCAAATGTCCCTGGGGGGCAAAACTGCCCCTGGCTGAGAACCATTGCACAAGATACTCTGAGCATCCTCACAATGGTCCCAACAACATGTACCGAGAGTCTCCTCTGTAACAGGCACAGAAGATATGAAGAGGAAAAGAACAAAGGCTCTGTCGTCCATCCTGAACTTAAGAGTAGAGAAAGCAGTCATGGAAATGGCTTAATTATCACAGTGTTTTAGGTGCTAAAATAAGAGAGCTATGCTAAAAAGTACAGGAGAAACGTCAAGAGACAGCCACCAACCGTCCGGGAGAAAAGAAGTTCCACAGGTGCTATCTGTGAACTGTGTCTTGAGGCCACGCGGAGGCCGATGGAAGAGAGAGCACATCAGAAGGCAGGTCGAGTATGTGCAGGAAGCTTGAGGACTTCCGTGGGCGCCAGTGCAGGCTGCGTGGGGCCTGGGGCAGAGGAGGAGGCTTGTGAAGGGCAGGGTACATCCTGCTCAGGAGCGTGGACTGGAGGCGGTCTGCAGGGGAGAGTCTACGGGGGTTACTGGTATGGAAATGAACTCATCTCGTTTGTTTTTAGCCAATTCTGATAGCCAGGTGGGGAGCTACTGTGGGTGGAGAGAGGCAGAGTGATCAGGAGGCTGTTATGAAAGAGTTCAACTGAGAAACGATAAGGTTCCAAATAAAGACAGTGGCCCAGGGAATCAAAACTGAAGAGGCAGCTGGGGTTGAAAGCCATTTTTGGAATACGAGGAAGGCAGGGAAGTAAGAACCTGCCAAGGAGACTGAGAAGCAGTGAAGAAGAGATGGGTAGCAAGAGGGACGAGGAAGAAGAGAGATTCAAGAAGGAGGAAGGGTTAGGTTTGCACAGCCGGGGAGAAGTCAGAGGGGACAAGAACCAGAAAGTGGCCACCGGAGCTGGCAACTTGGTCTCTGTTGAACTCAGCATGAGAAATTCCTAAAGAACACGTGAGGCAAAGCAAAAGGGAGTTGGAGGCGTGCAATTCGCGAGGGCACACTTCTCCAGTGTCTGGGAGGGAAAGGAAACAAGAAGACTG